TTTGTTTTTATTTTCATTTTTGACTATTTTTAAGGGAAAGCTTGAATAAAAGATCCTCAAGTATGTGTTCAGAAAGCAATTAAATTTAGAATCAATATTATTGCTGTCAAATACATTGTCCCATGATTCATTACTTAATTTTGTGACAAAATCTGCCATCGTATGCTTGTTGATTTTCCTTACTGTTTGATATTGTTGATTACTGGGCTGAAGGTCAATATTATTTATTTCTATGAGTTGAGCATCATGATCGGATAAGCCATTTATAAAGGGTCCTACAGTATAGTCTCTTAATTTTGAGTTATCAAAATGAAGATGTGGAGACAGAAGGCAAATAGAGAATAATGGCATCAGGTGTAATGGAGGCCAAGGTTCTTAGAGCACTGTAGAGCCAAGGAGTTCCAAATGTTTAGGCCAGGAAGGTGTTAGATTGTTCCTGAATTAGGTATACCGTGATTAAATTTCATTATGTGGTTGTTCAGTCAAGTGTTAACATTGTAATATGAGGCAAATAGCATGAGTCATTTCATCATAGAAGCAATCAGCTGCTTGTTTATCTGTTAGGTAAAGGCTGTATATTGTTACGTGTTTTGTGCGTCACGCAACAAATAAATCCACGTAGGTCTCAAATTCAGTAGAGCCTTTATTGTTCTTCACTTATACAATCACTGCTTTACAATTGGTAGCACTTTCAATATTACGATGACTGCTTACAATATCTCGGCCAGTACATCTGTATCTCTCGGCATCTATCGCGAGACTCTTATCGAATGTATTGCCTTCTTATATGTCTGCGGTCGTTGCTATGCATTGGACCTTCTGTTGTAACCGTGGAGACTCCTGTTAGAACTACAATATCACTATTGTTGTTTCCAATGCAACGGTCTATTCCAGCGTTTCCATAGCGGTGACTCTTCTGGATTCCAAACGCGTTACAATATGTTATGACATGAGAGCTGAATGCTGGAATAGTGGAGCCAGAAGAGAAGGCCATTGCTAAGTAACCGCTGGTAAACATGCCCCAACATCATCAAACAAGCAGGCCATTGCTAGGCAACATGATGTTTCCTGTAAGATCTGTTCTGAGACTGTGCCGTGAGAGCCAGCAGCCAGTAGTAGAGAGTTGGAATAGTGAGTTAGTTATGAGCCTGTTGCCATCCAGCAGTGATGTAAACACAAGAGCAGATTACTTTCCATTGTTGAGAACCTTAACCAAGCAACAACTAATGAGGACTATAACAAACTGAGACTCAGCATGTGCTGTACTATTTTGTTAAGTGTGTAGATCAGCGGTAATGTTAGAATTGTAGTTACAGGTGTTCAATAAATCCAATTACCAATTCAAACCCTGCATTAAATCACTTAACACGTGACAATATTAACATGCCTAAATTTAATTCTGTTACATGTCACAGTAGGTTTCCTTTTGCACAATTTGATTTGATAATAAAGAAATAAACAATAACTAAATAAATATAATAAATTTTGCTTCCCAACGTTTCCAAGGGATCATTTTGTTTAACAGTATGAATTTTTATTATTTATCTATACTGAAAATAAATTTATATTTGTCACACATATTCATCAAAATCCCAACTTTTCTTTAATTTTAAGAGTATCAACTTAAAAGAAAAATGATGGGAAATAATATCCTTTGTTTTCATACATTCAGAGTGCTATATAAAAATTGCACTTGAACTCAAAATGATGAAATTGCATCGTTTTCTGTGCCTATTGTATCAGTTAAGTACCAACATACTCCTTACTGAAGTTTTTCATGGTTTTTCACATATTTTCCAATTCACCAGTCGCTGATTATTGTATTATTATATAGCTCTATAATTTTTTCAGTTAAGTGTCATTAAATAAATTAAGAATAAAGAAAAACAGTAATTATGTGCAGTGTTAATAATTTTATTATTATTTTTACAGACAAATTGAACATTGATGGACATCTAAATTTTTCCATTGACAAACAACATTATGACAATGGAAGGGTGGGGCCTGTTCATGTACCAGACAGTTGTGTATAGTTAGTGATAACAGTAAAACATTCATCTCCAAGTTTGTCTCTGGCACATCAGTATAATCTCATGTGTCAGAATCCTGAAGTATATTGTGAAGTATGATTATCATCATGACACTTCAAGTGTCCTCTTAGATTATAGGTTTATATTCATCATATATTGTTATCCTTAAATATGAACTCATGACAAAGGTACACCCTTTTATTTCCTTTCAAAGGAAAGATGCGAACTTCAATAACAAATAAAAATTCTTTATAATTTGGAGGGTAAGTTATCATGTATTTTTACATCCATGTTAATTATACTTTTTTTTTTACAATGAACAGTGTTGTATAATTGGACATTCAAATCTTGTTTTCCTTATATGTTATACTTGTGAATATTGGAATATTAGTCATATGGATCTTTTTTATAAAACACAGTATCTCAAATATGTATAATGAATTTACAGTTAAAATCCTAAAGTCAGCAAACTTCTACAACACATCTTATTATTACTCCTTTAATAAGTCTTAGACCTTTTTTCTGTGTTTTAAATACTGCATTACTTTCATTTTTTTTTGGGGGGGGGATATTTACAAAATACTTGAGATAATTAGTTAAACAGGAACTGCATACTCTATTTGCATCTGTTTGTAAGTACTTGTAAACATCATCCCATATTTAATTTTTAACCGATTGTTAAATATTTATATATTTTTTAGAAGACTCTTCTTACAGTTTTCTCCGAATGAACAAAGGGGCATTTAACAGCTATGTTCATAACATGAGCAAAGTGGTCCAAATACCCCAGTTCAACTACCTTTTGTTGTGGTATCATAAAATATATTGTGACATGTTGTGCAACGGAGGACACCCACCTCCCCAGCGGTACGTGGCGGTAACGTAGCAATCGCATTACTATGGTAATAGGCGAGTCCCCGCCCCGCCACTCTCCCCACAGTGATGTAACGCGCAACGCACGGTGACACAACACGGTGATGCGGCACCGCTTCCTACTGTGACGTGGCATGTAACAGGCACACACAGCCCCTATATAAGAGAGCTGCGCTGCCTGCGGAGTTGAGTTGTAACGTGGCCATCGCCGAAGACAGTTCCAAGTTAGTTCCGAGCAAGCCTATGAGCGAGTGTGTTATCAACAGTTCTCAAGGCAGCAGCCTGCTAGTCGAGTTGGAGTATAGCAGCCATCGCGGAAAGAAGAACCGGATGTGTGTGTGATTGTGTAATAGGGAGTGTGTGATACAGTGATACATAGCTCCCCTACTATAAACGTGTAGACTACTGAAGAGAGAGTGAACTGATTTGCGCATAGGGTTATAAATCGTGAAACCCCGCAACTGTGTTATAATTAATTGTAGCCGTTACTTGTAGGTTGTTAAATAAACCAGTTAACAATCCGAATGGCGTCTTCAGTAACGAAACACGTTACAATATTATTTCTAATCATTACATCAATTAGAAAATTATGAAAAATATGAAATTCAAGTCTGCGATGAACAGTATACTGGACAGAATAAAGGAAATTCTATCTCAGAAATACAATTAAAATTGTTATTCCAAAAAGGAATTTACAGTTTCATTTTTGGAACTGTTGCCCCCACCCCAAATCATCACCACCACCACCAACATTGGCTGCAGCAATGAGAGTTTCAGGTCCATTCTGTCTCAGAATGAATCCTCCCGCCTTTTTCAGGGTTATTCTTTGTATATCCTACAGGTGTATATTTCACAGTTCTTTGGACTGGTCTGTTATGCTGCATTTGTTGAAGATGTTCATGCCATTGGTTTTATATTCTTCTAAATTAAAAATTCAGAGTTGTGTGCATTTCATATTACTCTTCATGGTTGTAAGAGGCTGTATTGAGGTACTTGCTATAGAAATTTCATTTCTGCTGTTTCAGCCTGTCTTTGCATAAGCTCTGTTTAATTGCTCAATTTTCAGGGACTACTGTGACTTTATGCAGTTTTAATTGTGTTTCTCATTAAGTTTTATTTTTTGATATTGTGTTTAATTTATATTTATAATTTATAATTATATTTATATTATAATTTATATTTATAATATTTAATTTATGTAATATATTCAACTGTTTCGATTTCTTTTACTGAAAACCTGTGAGCTGCAACTTCAGGTGTTTGTGAAATATTCAGCCAATAAAAAAATCAACTTTGCACTTTTGGAAGTCTTAAGTAATGTGAAGTATATAATTTAATTAACCAGGCTTCATCTTAAGAAGATGATAATTGTTCAACTGATCAAGAAATTCCCCACTGTTTATGGGACTCCAGATTCATTGCTATGCTCATGAGAGCTTCACACTGCCTATCCTGAGCCAGTTGAAGTCAGTTTACATGGTCATACCTTATTTTATTTCATTTACATTTCTGGTGTGGGTTCACAAGCTGCTCAGCTGATGAAACATAAAAAAAATCATATTTTGGACACTTTTTTTATTTCAAAAAATCCTCATCAGCTGCCATTCTGGATGTGTGTAGCTAATGAAAAATTACAGTTTTGAAAATTCATGAGCTGCTGCTTTTACAGTTGTGGTGCATTTCAAGTTTATCTTTTGTTCCAGTACTTGGCAACCAGTCAGAAAGCAGTAACAGAGGTGATTGAGCACTCCTTAAGGCTACTTCTGCCAGCTGAGTACTTGGCTCGTCAAGTGACACATCATCAGGAGTTATCAGAGTTGGTGCAGCTGTGGGGTGGTCAGGTGCCAGTGTTTGTGTGCACTACTGGGTTCCCAGGTGTCCCCTGCCCTCTGTATGTGTATGAACCTCGTTACCGAGTCATGATGCGACACTGTGCAGAAGCTGGAACACGTGAATTTGGAATTGTAGCTTGCCTCACAAAAGATCCAGGGAACAAAAGGTCAGATCATGTGTTAATAAATCTAGTTTTTTTTAACATAATTACATTTCTGAATAACCATTTGGTAGTAGTCAATTAACCTGAAGTTCAAACATCACTAACACCAATATGGGAACTCATTCTGGGACACTTTCATTCATCTTTCACTGTCACAATGTATGTCATTAAAGTAAAGATAAAGAATTAATTGCCTCTCACCTTGGGTGGGGGCTACTAGAAATAGAGTTGCATACATTCTTAAACTTGGTACTAGATGGAGGTAAGTGGTCAGCTTCATGCCCTGGCTGCTTCATCTCCAGAGAAGGGTCCCAGATAGTGGTTGGTTAGGAGGCTGAGTGAGTCCCAGGGCTAGTCTGAGCCCTGTGGCAAAGAGAAAGAACCCCCTACCCCTCCCAGGAATGATATACCAGGCATGCAGTCTGTAGTATAGTCACTGTACTGACTAACCCACTAAGATCCATCTTAATTTTGACCTACCATCTGCTGCTTGATCTTCCAAATGACCATTTCCCATGCATATTATCCATCGATAATAATCTGTACATATCTTTTGCCTACTTTGAGCTGCATGTATAACCTCCTCAGTTTTACTACTGTAACAATAATAGGTGGCCTGCATAATTTACAGACATCCATATACACTTGCTTCATTTAGAAATGCCTATCATATAAGATTGAATTTCCATCTTTTCATTGTTTTACTGCAGCTATGCTGAGTTTGGAACAATATTAGAAATCAGAGACTGGATTCTTCTTGACAATGGTTGCTCCATTCTTACAACTGTTGGTGTCCAGCGGTTTCACATATTGACACGCGGAGAGAGAGATGGTTACGACACTGCAAAGGTGGAATACTTCCGAGATCAACCTATACCTGCAGATAGGCTTCCAGGTGAGGCGTAGAAGATGGGTGTAATGTGTGCATTCCGGGTAAATGCTGTTCTAAATTGTATGGTGCTAAGTGGAAATCAATTTCTCATATGAACAGAAACAAGGGAAGTGCTCTTGGTGAGTAACATCTTGTGCGTTGAAATTTAAGCTGACATTTATACAGGAGGCAAGCTCCGGGGGGGGTGGGGGGGTAGCTGTTAACTTATCAACATCAAGTTTGGTCTGCTGAATATATATATAAACTTATGTAGAAGATTATGGAATAAACAACCCAAAACAGGCAGAATTTTCAGAAAAGCATGCATCATCCATGTCCAGTAGGTAAACTGCCTTAGCAACAATCCGGTGATAGTTCACAACCATCAGAAGGCTAACGTTAATGGACAGATTTCCTGTATCCATCAGAGTTTGTCAGTGGGTCAAATAAATTATTATAGGTCAGTTATTTTATTATTTAATGGTGTTGCTTCAACTGAAGAAGTTACATTCGTTTGACTGAGATGATTATCAGTGGTGGATGCATAAGAATTTGAAAAGAAGTAGTCATTGTATTGTAGCGTGTTGTGTGTGTCACGCTACAAATAAATTTACGCCGTTGTTTGATATAGCGAATTTGTTCCGTTCGCTTGCCTTACACACACCTTACAATCATTTCCACTTGCAGTGTTACAAATACTGCTTACAATATCTCGGCGGTACTGGACTCTCTTCTGCGGCGAATATTCCAAGACTCTCTTCTTCGAAGGCTGGATAAAGACTGACTGCTTCTCGCCAAAGCTGGGCTGTTTATCCCCTCGGCCGCTGCTAGGCAAACGAACCCTCTGTTATAGCAGTGGAAACGTTGCTTTGTTGGTTCCGCGATTCCTACGCAATGACCCATTGTTATTGTGTTGTTCCTGTGGGAACGCTTCGCGTATTCGTCGTAACTGTGGAGATTCGATGTTCTCTACACAACGGCTCACTGTTAGGATTACAGTGCCGCTATTGTTACTTCCTATGCAACGGTCTGTTCTAGCGTTTCCATAGAAGTGACTCTTCTGGATTCCCGACACGTTACAGTATATTTCAAGGTACTGTCCAAGTGTATGTTTCAATAAAACTAAGAACATTCGTGGATAGCCTCAATCATGATGGTCTCTAACCTGTCCAATAATAGAATCTGGTACTTCTGAATACTAGTAGTGGCTCCACAATCATACCCAATAAAAAGAAGTGGAATGTATCTATAGATGCCTGTCACTATCAACCGTTATGTGCATCATATCAGCACTACACTGAAACAGACGCTTTTAATTCACAGCAGTTGTACAGTGAAGTTCTTAACAGAAACAATGCTTTTAAGAAGTGTCAGGCTGAGCATTTGGTCCATGTTACAAATTTTGTGAATCTTGCACAGCCATGAAGAAATCACATATCCCATTTCAGAACCCTAAAGAAAGTTACAATTAGAGGTAAAGTTGTTCCTGTTCTTAATTGGTAGGTCATGAAGACAACCAGAGGGAGTCGAGGTATAGCTCCACATACTAAATGTCATGGTTGAGTGGGCAGCACTCCTGCTTTGTATTCTGGAGGTCTCAGCTATCCTGTTGTGGGTTCTTCAGCCCCATCAATGAAATTCAAGATAGTATACTAAACTGGGCAATGTTCTCTTCCTTCCCCAACCTCTTCAGCTCATTATTCCATAGTCATATCATTCAGTACTATGTAATCTGAGCTACTGAATATGTCATTAAATAAATCATTAAGAAATTAAGGAATCATATGTGCTTTGCTCATGCATGAGGCAGAGGTAAGTAAGTGAGTTTTGTCTCAGGGAAAAGGGTCCAGAGGTGTTGGCAAAGAGGAAACTCCTTTCTTCAGTCGGAAATCAAACCCAAATTGTCTGGGACAGCTGGTCTAGATCCTAAATGAAAGATGATCAAACAATTAACCACACTGAATATAACAGTGCCTTAAAAATGCAATGCTGGAAAATTCAAAATTAATATAGGTATACAGTGTATCTGTGCTTATTGAATTAAATTGGGTTGTCAAAAAGTTGTGTGAAGGAAGGGTGATTAAAATTGATCCTTGACCAAAAATTTGGTCTATTCAAGAATTGTTCTTTCCTATCAGTGTAATTAAATTGTAGTTTTATTTTTACATCTCATTGACAGCAGTGATTGTTATACTGAAATTTCAATGATCAGACATAAAAAGTGGCTTTGTAAATATTATGTACCTCATGATTACTAGTTGTAAAAGATATACTCTTGTAAATTAAAATTCTAAACCTTTGAAACTTTTGGCAGTTCAGTATTTGTTAATCTGTTTTTTTTTTGGTCATGCTGACAGATCTGAAGGATTTACATGATCGAGTTCATCCTAAAGCTTGGCAATGGTTTAATTCTTTGGAGGCAGAGCTGCAGTCTGAGATAGTGAGGGCATTTGGTCACATGCCAGAGCTGGAGGAGGAATGGCCCTCATTGGCTGATGGGCCTGCCTGGACGTGGTGGCTTCTTGCTTTCCTCCCATTGAGCCAGGAGCTTAAGGTGGGAAAATTTTTCTGTAATTTTGGATATTCCCATTATATGAAATGAATTCTCATTTGTAGGATATGAAATTGTCACAGCAGTGGTATGAAAAGTTCTACTTTCCAGGACATAACACTGTGTAGCCCATTGAAAGTCATTCGATGAATGGGAGAAACATGTCCCATCTTAAGAATTTAAAAAAAAGCCAAGCTTTGCATTGTTTGCTAATGGCTTCATGCTGGTTTCTTGCTTGGCCTATTCTTCAACCCTGAAAATGGAGGCAACATGTTCCTCCAAAATGTCTGTTGACTTTTGCCAGACTGCACAGTGTTATATCTCAGGAGACAGAACCATTTGAATTCTCATTTGCTCATCTGGTATCTCCTCCTCCTTCTCATTTTCATTATCATTTCATCACTATTGTTCTTCTGCTGACCCTTATACTTATCTTTTGTTTTCCCAGTCTGTCTTTATCTTTTTATTATTTGTATTATTTTTCTCTTACTCTTCATCCTTCCTCTGCCTCATTGATGTCCCTCTTTTATCTTGGATTTGGTTTATAAAGCTTGACATGCAGAAGGTATGCATAATTAGCGGGATGACCGCATAATGAAGCACCTCTGTCATTCCTCAAGCTGTTGTCAAGAAACCAATTTTTCTAATAGTTTGTAGCTTAATCTAACTTTCTTGCCTGACACATTCACACCAGAACAGCTTCTGTCACCCTCCCTGCAGTAGTAGGTGCACATTACAGTGTGTACTCTGTAAAGAAACAAACAAGCAACACACATGTATGGATATCTGGAAGGTTTTTCTTCAAATTTTTTGTTCATCTTCAAGTCTGCTAGTATTTTATAGCGGGAAGAGACCTCAGAATGGACGAGTACAGCCATTGCTATCCAGTAAGTGGGTAAACAAATACCTGTTTCTAAGCAAGGTCTCGGTAAACACGTTCCTTTAGAAACCATATCCAGCTGCCATAACAAGAATAGAAGGATTGTTGGAGGTGGTGTTTTTTGTTGGGTCTGTCACAAGGTTATATAAGGAGGCCATCGGAGCTGCAGTCAGTTGTCAGCTGTTTAGTTGAGTGAAGTGACATGATGTAGTTGGTGGTTGAGGCAGAGTTCAGTTGTTAGTTGAAAGTTAGCCTGTGAAGAGAAAACTAGGAGGTTGATGTGAAATGGCTGCCAGCCTGGGATCCAGTTAGTTTAGATGTTACTTGACAAGAGTCCTGTACAGGTGGCTGTGACAAGAGAACCTGAGCATAAGAAGCTGAAGAATTGCCACTGTGTTAAATCTGTTACCAGGAAACGGCTAGTGGAGACTGTAATAGACTGACACTAGTCTGTGTGTGTCAGTGATCTGTAAAGTGGAGTTCTGAGTGGCATATACAAGTCATCAGTAGATCCATTCACCAATCTACACCCTGTCTGTAGTCACCCACACCCCTGAATTGTAAGAGTATGAAAGAAAGAAATTCTCCTTTATATAGAGAAAACTGTTCTCCTAGCTACTAGAATGCTCATAAAACCTAACATTTTATATTCCTTTATTTCTGAGTATATTATTCAGATATTTAAGTTGATAGGAAACATGTTAGCTCTATAGAATCATATGCTGACCTCTGTCAATAAACAAAAGAACTAGGGATCTCAGATCATATATGGCACATGAAACATTTTTCTGTGTTCTTGTTTTGTGCAAGAATCACAAAAGTGTAAATTGTGTGCAGAAATTGGTCAGTAAATTATATGATTTTTAGTTTGGACCTCCTCCCAGCCCCACTATGTAAGTCAGAGATGGCAAACCATTTTGATCCCAGGCACCAGATTCACATCAGAAGTTGCTAAGTAAGAGAAGTGTCACCTGTCCGTATTGCTTCAGTACTTTAAGGTGAGATATCTGCAACGTCACATTTGTTAAACACTTCTTCATTTGTTAGCTTGTCACATTCTGCATTTCTTTTATTTGATTGATGATTTATTACATTTGACTACTTGCATTCCATTTTTCAAAATACTGAAGAGTTAATAGAATAGTGTTTTTGTGCAGCTGCCTTTCTGTGGGTAACTGTATTGTCACGTGACAAATAACTTCATGTGGGTCTCTTGATTTAGCGAATCTTTATTGGACACTCACACTTACACACTTTACAACTATTATCACTTGCAGTATCACAATTACTGCTTCTACTATATCTCTGTGAATACTGCATTCGACAGCGACTCTCTTACACCTGACTTCTGGCCTAATACTCAACTTCCGCTCGAGACCAGACCCTTTATATAAGCCACATGCGCTCTCAGTAGAGGGTTCAGTTTCATGTGTTCAGCAATCCTTTGCTTTGGGAACACTCCTTGTAGAATACATTGGTAATGTGTTTCATCTCATCCGTTGTGACTCAACGACAATCCATTGCTATGATTTGTCGCTGCGGGAGCTCCGCACTTTCCACGTATTCAATGTTGTGGAAGTGTCCATTTCGATTGTAGCGGTTGTCATAGCAATAGGCGTAAGATAACACATCACAGTATTTTTAGTATTTTGGACAGATACATAAAATAGGAGCAAAATGTATCTTATGTAAATGAATTTGTGAACTGTTGAATTATCAAGTGACTTCAGCATTAACTCTGACAAAACTTTTAATCCCTGCTGCAAGCCAATATCTCAGTTGGTGCCATACTTGAAATCTGTGCTGGTGGTTTGCCGTCGAAGATACAGATTGAAGCATTTGTTACACATTTTATCCAGTACTTCTTGTCTAATGTTGTCTTACTTTATTTTGCCCTCTCGTTTGTATACAGGTTGAAATACTGGCCACAACAAGTCTAGAGAAGCGCTTACGAGCTATTGACAAGACATTGGATCGTATCCAGGCAGCAACTGCTGCAAGGCAAGAACAGGAACTTGCTGTAGCAGCTAGACATGAGCAACAGACTTCAAACAGTGAGCATCAGGCTGGTCCTAGACAACAAACTGGAGAGTCACTTGACCAGCAAGAACAACAAAGTCAGCATGTAGTGACTGCAGGCCACCAGCTGCCACCCCACATATTCAATTCCCGCTTTTTGGGGGCAAATAGGGAGCGAGTGGGTGTCATGGGGACATCCTGACTAGCACGGGTGGGAAGGTGGAAAAGGAGGAGAGTTGGGGGATCCTGGGGGAAAGCAAGATGCAGAACGATGAAGCCTACACTGTTACCAAATAGTTAACTGGTTATAGAAAATAATATTGCTGAGATTGCTCGGATACTGACAGGAAATAAGATATAAAAAGCACTGAGACAGCATAACTATGTAACTCATTCTACTGGGCAGAATCCTTCATGAGACCCTAATAGTTTCTCAGCTGATCAAGAAATTCCCTGCATTTTACAGAACTTGAAGCTTCATTAATGTTTTCACAAAAGCCTACAACTGGTTGCTATCCTGAGCCAAAGAATTTAGTTTGAGGTCCTGTGTAACATTTTGTAATATATTGCAGTTCTCAGTATAATTAAATAAAAGGCATTTGTAAGCTCTATCTTCTTACATCCCTAAAACCAAAGTAAAGGAGCAGCTAATTTCATCCCTGTCCATCCTTATGCCTGTCTGCTTATCCACCCTACTTTTCCTTATGGTATTTATGACACAGTGTCAGAAGATAGAACTTGGGAAGCATTAACAGAGCAGATGTGCCTGAATTTTTATACTAGGCTTACATTTTCTAACTTCTTATTATTTAGTTCAAAAACTGTTTCTGTATAAAAATAAATTTGTTTTGTATGGGAATGAAAGTACATATGTTACAGGTGTTGGGAAGGAAAGTTTTCAGGTCAGAAGGCCTAAGAATAAAGTAAGTGGGTAGTTAAAGACATCACATAATAAATAATATACACAGGCCATGTAACCCTGTTAGAATAGTGTGATGGACTGGATGTAGAGAAAACAAAGAATATGTATAGAACTTTAATGCTTGTAAAACAGTCACTTGGAAGACTGAGAAGGAGATGGGAGAATAACATTATGATGGATCTTAGATGATGTGGTGGATTGAAATGGCTCAGGATTGTGTTCCAGTGGCAGGTTTTACATTTGCTTAATTACATTAATTAACTGAGATAAGTTGGCTGAAGTAATTGTATTAACTTTTTGGTCCTGGGGTTGAGTAAGGTGCTGCAATTATATCACAGTTTAATTTGTTTTTGTTCATTCTGCAAGTGAACCCAAGACTGATTAGATTTAGTTTTATTAAAAAACAATGAGTTTTAGAGATTTACATTTATTCTTGCAGGGATTTAGGTTCTGCCTCATACTTCATATAGGACCTGTACTGCCATGCTCCTCTCATAATTAGACTTTTCCAGCATTAGCATTGTTGTTCCCATTAAGATTATCTCCAATACAAACCATGTGCCAATCAAATTTAATTTTGTGTGTGTGTGTATTTCATTCACAGTTCAGCATTAGTTGAGCCAGAAGGTGACAGTTTCTAAAATGGAAGCTAGTTGTACCTTCTCTATGTAGGTATGAGAATGGAAAATGGCTCAGTGGACTAAACTTTCATGTTATGTGCTGTGCCATGTGCAGTACTGCACACCATCAAGCTACTGAGAAGAATGTTTTAAGTGTTATAGCAGATCACCACAGTGCTCTGTGGGACTGAATACAGAACTGCACTTCCACAAAGTTTTCCATTATTGTGTGACATTAAAGAGCTTTTATTTGATAACTACAAATCATTAATTATTAATATTTATTAATATTATTATTTTATTTTATTTAAGTGATGTATAGGTTTTTTATCCTGTAACATATTCAGTACTGTATGTTTTCGTTTTGAAGCAAGCAGGCATGTCCAGGAATGTTTATTCTTAATAAAAGAGGAATGGTTATTTGATTTGGCAATAAAATCCAAAGAGATTATTTGTGAAGAAGTGTTGTTTTCACACCAAATAAAGTAAAACTTCATGTCAGTTAAAAATGAATTACATTTTCAGTTAAAGTAATTTGAGGCAGTGTTGTCTTCAGTGTTGCTTTGAAATATTTGTGTTTCTATATTCTGTTGTTGCTTTTTTTAATTTATATTTTGGAACATGTTGAAACATGACATCATTTGCTTTTGTACAGTATATACTGTATATATGATAGTTGGGAAGGGAAGAACCCTTTACCAGAGTAAGAGCCCATAGACACACTAATGTTAGGTGAAATATCTTATCCTCTCTGAGAAATGTCTTTGTGATGTGTCAACATAGACTGATAAAATGTGTTGTAGTATATTATGTTTCTTCAAGAAGTATTGAGACTGAATCTGTGAAAACTGAGATATGCTCACAGGGATTAGGGGTTAATAATTCTGAGAGTAGGTCATCATTACATACTCCCTTGTTCCACCATCCATTCCAGTGCTAGAAGAAGCCTCAAATTCACTGTGTGCACCTGCCAACAGCTGCTCCACTAAACTGTGTTCATTTATTTTAAAATCATTAAATATTTTGTCTTTTATCATTTCTTTGAAGTTTAATGAACAGAAAAGTCACATGGAGCCATATTTAATAAGCAGGAAAACTGTCTCATTTATGGAATAATGTGTTTAGTTAAAAATAATGTTGCACAGATTTGGCTGACTTGGTATATTCTCATGGCAAATTTTCCATTTGCTGTATTCCCCATTTTTATGATGGTTTATTACACAGTGCATCACAGATATAGCTCAACATTTGTTTATAGAAATTACAAATCTATATTAATAGACTGATTCTGTGAAGCATGAAACCTTTGTAATGAAAGAAAAAGATAAACATCACTTTGGTTTTCTACACAGCATCAGTTACAGTGAGGAATGATGTGTTGATTGCTGCTCAGTGTCACTGTTATAACCATGAGCCATGTTGCAGCATCAGCTGCATTTTTTCTGAAGTTTTCATCAGTTTCTGCAAATTCATTTAAATCAAAAGCCACAGACAAGAAGTATATTTTTCCTTCTTCCATGTTGGCTGCTGTGGAATGGTCTTGGCTGAGACATGCCTTATTTACAATTCTTCAATTCATGCAGCCTGACAAGAGCCATAAGAAATTCCTCTTCAGCTGTTTCATGAATAGTCAAGTCTTCTGTAATTTTTGCACTATTATTATTATTATTGGAGGGGGTGGGTTTCCCCATGCACCGCGACCAGTTTGATCTATTGTACGTCCCCCTGTGATATTCTGCCAGTCTCTATACCCTACCGGTACTGGTGCATGCCATCAGTCCTGACTCAGCCCGAGTTCGGCCTCTACTGGCTCAGCGGTATCCAGATGCTTCCCCCATATACCAGAGGCATTAGAGACTATTGTTGGGCGGGAAATGTCCTTACAATTTAGCTCAGAGGTCTCCTTGAGACATGAGGTTCTTTTATGTGCCGTAAAGCTACGACACGGGAGTTTGATTTTCAGATCTTCATTAGTTAAGAAATTTTGGTTACCATCTTTTCATACTTCTTACATAATTTAATGTGAAGTTATGTGTTATTGGACCTAATTAAAGTGCACATGAAAAAATACATGGACATGCAGTAATTGGCCATGTTTAATTTAGCCACACACCTGCATGTTGCATTTTATCTGAGATACAAATTCAGTGTCAATACTTTTTGATCAGATGGATTAGGTTTGCCACTTAAAACTCTTTTCATCTCTGAATGTTTTTCCTCTGATATTTTATGAGTCAGGAAAGTTTACACACCCTCACATTTTAGATAAAATCGTAACTCTGTGGCAACAGTTTGTGCCTGTGAAGTTCTTTGAGCAAAATGTGTGATCACAGTAATATTTGGCAGGAAATTCAGAGCAAACAGTTATTAATAAACTATGTATGTCATAAAGTTGATCTGTGGGTGACAGGTCCATCCGCTATTTGAGAAGAGTGTGTCCGTAGCATAATGAAGATACATTTATTTTTAATGAAACTTATGACTAATGTAAAACTTAAACTGCAGTGTTGTAAATATACATAGTCAAAAGGGTAATTAATACATCAGCTGCAGTATAAATATGTAAAATAAAAAATGTTTGAAATTGTTAATATTTAGAGAACTGAATACATATTTAAATGTAATATCAGTAGCTGAGTTTTCTGTCTGCTAATATTTTATGATAATTAAACAGGAAATATCAGAAAGAACTTTAGCATCCATATTTGTTCACATGCTTCCATAGAGGTCAGCATAACTTATAAAATACATAATTTGAAATTGTTCATAGTGTTGTATTTTAGTAATATACATGATGGGAACCCATCATATGCAACTTTTAATGATTATGTTGCAATGTATTATTTTCGACTATCCACCCTACATTCATTAACCTAAATGGAATTCTTCCAGGTTATACACAAACACATACATATCTGCAAGCAAGGGTCAAAAAAATAAAGGCCACATAGTCATCAGAGCCAGATGAAAGATTTTGGCTTTCTTTTAACTTCAAACCTGGCAGTTGGGAGTTGGCTTTAGGAGTTCTACATGCTCTACATGCAAGTGATTAGTAAATCATAACAGTGATGTATTTGAATTCAATTTTTGGTCATTATCTTATGCCTGACCAGCATGTGCTTAGGACAGACATTGTAGTAACAGAAAGAAATTAATCTTGTACATTGATCAGATGTGAGAGCCAAAGCAAGGTGCCAGAAAATATTGATTTACCTCTACATGTGACAGAAGTATTTGTTTGGCTTCAACAGTTTCAAATATTTTTCACCTGTGTGTGTATGCATGTATTTCTAAAACAACACTACATTTTAACATAAGGAGCTGTGTTTGAGGGTTTTCCATTATGTACATAAAAGTTATATAATTAATTTATCTATTTTTGTACAAAATTTCCACCAATATATACTTGCAGTACCCCTGAATTGTCAAACATAACCTTAAACATCATCACTTTTTTCCATTACATTCCACAAGAAGCATATGAAATTCATAAACATATTTATAATGTGGTCATGTAAATAAGATCTAAAATGCTGGATGATGGCATATTAACCTTTAACGTATGGACTTTTAAATTTCTGGGAGCCCTCTGCGGCCGGTATTTAAATCACCTTACTTAATTAACATTGCAAACTTTCAGAAAAAATACATATTTTCTGTTCTATGCAACACAGAAATACGAACTAAAAACAGTCTGAAAGACAATAAAATTTTCTACATATACTCAAAAGAGCAATTTTTACAAACGAAAATTAACTGTGAATATTTTGTCATGAAATGCAAAATATAATCTTTATTATATATGTTATGAAATTCCAAAGGACTTGCCCGTTGTTTTTTCTTCAACCTTGAATCATGGTGATATTGTAAATATAGTCACATTATATACAATAATATTTTGTTCAGGGTGTACATGAGTTTGAACTGTGTCACTTCACTCTGACGTGCGTGGCACTTCTTGAAGCAGTCCACCTCACACAGAGTGACACAACCCTTTTTACAATAGAAGAGTGTGCTGCTGCTTTTCTTATTTAGTGAAACACACGACAGTGTCTTTGTTTCCCTTTGGTTGGCCAGTGTTGTGAATGTTTCCCCTCCAGTAGACTCAGTTGGGCCCCAGATAACCTTGGCCTCCCCCAAGAAACACCAGTGACTGTGATATTCGCCTTGTGCGATTGAAGAATCATCTTGGTGGAGGGAGGTTTCTAGCAAAATTGAATAAATTATGTTGATTGACAAAGTGACACTCTCACCTGTTGGTAATACTCGCAAAATAGTGATGCAAAGTAATTATAATACTAGTCGAAAAG